TTCGGTTCCAACTTTGCGAGTGTCGGCACTCGGCAAAGGCTTTGTCGAAGTGCCCGACAAAGACACTCGGCAAAGACGTCTTTGCCGACTCTTTTTGTAGAGGCAAAGACTCGGCAAAGCCTTTGCTTAGAGTGCAAATTGGGCTTTGCCGAGTGCCCCGGCACTCGGCAAATTCATCGAAGTCCGTAGTGCCGTATCCGCTACACTAGCATGAGTGCTCATGCTTATGCACAATAGGTCCATAAATCTATTGTCTCCCTCTTGATGTTCTTTCTAGGCTGCACCACCGCTTGACCGACCTCCTATCTCCTGCTCCCTCATCTCCCAACACTCTTTCGATGGCATTGAGCTCATGCATGGCACATGTGCCTTCGTCATCTATCCCCTTTGATCACATCCTTCACCCTCTCACATTCTTCTCATATAGATATAGCTACTAAAAATGAAGGACTAAACGAGGGACTAGATAAACAGTATGATAACGAGTGACTATCAAATGTGCCTTGGCTACCTAAAAGCCTTCGTCCTCAAATGTATTATCTTGTTCCTCTTGCCTCCAATGGCAACTCCTATGTAGCTGCAGGCCCATTGGAGCCCTTATATTACTGTTGTGACTTGAACCATGATGGCCGTCAATAAGTGGGCATCACTATATTGCCGTTGCATTATTATTGGCTACATACGCAATGCATGTCGACGTGCGCAGATTCATCGCTTTCACCGGGAGCTAAGCAAGGAGGAGGAGCTCCATCGAGCTCGATCGGTGGTGGACCGCAAGTGCCAAGTAGTAGGAACTGCAAGCAAGGAACAGCAGGCAGACAGACAAGCTAGCTAGCCATGTGCGCGCGCGTGTGCTAGCTGCATGTATGCCCAAAGCATATATCGGCCAGTTCATTTGGTTGGTTTCGGGGAAATTTGATAACTCGGCGATCTTTGGTTTATTATGAGAGAAAAATATTATTGGGTGACTGATAAGCCCATTTGAAACCAACAAACGAATAGGCTATATATATATATATATATATATATATATATATATATATATATATATATATATATATATATATATATATATATATATATATATATATATATATATATATCCTGACTCCTCGGATCATATTTATTATTATAATACTACTAAAATATTTCTGCTCTACTAATAATAATTAATCTAACCCGCTCACTCTGCACCCCACCTAACAGTAACAGCAACAATCTTAAGCATGCATATGCATATAGCAATAGCATATATGCCGGGCGACCCGATGGATGATCTGTCGACGTGTTGTACCATATATACACGGATCGGATGGGAGGTGAGGTGGTTAGCGTGCCCCATCTATCGCCCATTGGACGCATCAACTCACATGACCACAAGCCTAGCTACCAACAAGCAGCTAATAACCAGCATTCAGGCAAAAGGACCAGCCATGCGTACATATCATAGCCTTCCCTTCCTTGTCTGCAAAGCTACCGGCCCTGTAGTACGCGTCCTCCCACTGCATACCATGTGTCCATCATTCATGCATGCATGCACGAGTTTTCTTTTCACATAGGCCTTGTTTAGATTGAAAGTTTTTTTTTTAACCTGATGAATAGTATCACTTTCGTTTTATTTGGTAAATATTGTCCAATCGTGGACCAACTAGGCTCAAAAGATTCATCTCGTGATTTCCAACTAAACTGTGTAATTAGTTATTTTTTTTACCTATATTTAATACTCCATGCAAACGGCTAAAAATTGATGTGATGGAGAGAGAGTGAAAAAACTTGGAATTTGGAGGTGATCTAAACAAGGCCATAGAGTGGATGCTTGCCAAGCAATAAATGGTTTACCCTAATTAACAAGCTCTGGCGAATTTGTTCCAACTAACACGATAACACCGAGTAGTACGGATATGCTTGCCAATCATTATCTCGTTGCCACTGCAGCAGGCACACAGGAAGAGCAACGGTGTCGAGCAGAGATCCGTCGGTACACCACCGACAGACTCTGCAGTCGATATGTACAGACGAGTAACCAGGGAGGGATCAGAGACGCCACCTGGGCTGTCAGCCTCTCACCAGTTCATGTGCAACCTCCTGCCCAACACCAGTACTGCCTGACTGCCCTGCGATCGGGGACACACACATACTGTATAATATAAGGATCACTAGCTTTATTAATTCATCTGCACTCTCCATGTAATTGCTTGTAATCCCAGTGTGCATGCATTGTGCATGTGTGGGGCTTTGATACGTGTGTGTTGTGTTATCCCTTGACCGCAAATTGTTTGGGTTGTTGCATTTGCCTTACCTGCCGGCTGCTAAATTCTCACAGAAGGGAGGGAGCTCTGCTGTTACAAGACAGTGACACAACCAGTGGAAAAGGAATATGAATGCACAGCTACCTTGGGCTACATCTACACACTACGCAGCTAGCCGGCAGGCTCATGCATGTGTCCATGGCTAGCTGGGCCATGCCATGCATGCGTCTCTCCATTACAAGGTCGAGAAAGCAACCTGCTGCTGCATATCCATTTTAAAAGGGAATCCAAGAGCGTGCCGCTCGTCGATGCTGAGAGCCTGAGAGCTCACATCACAACCATTTCAGACTTGCATTGAGAGGGTTGCATATGCTTAGTAGGTGATCATCGGTGGTGATCGAGGCTCTTGCGTGAGGAAGAAAGAATTAGCTAGCTAGAGAGACACATACAGAGATCGATCGATCCAGATCATAGCCGAGACGACTGAGAGGAAGACGATCGAGCTAGGCATGATGAAGCTCTTGTTCCAGTGTCCCTGCTGCTCTTGCTTCTGCTTCATGAAGACGACCAGCAGCAGCAAGACCCAACAGGGCAGCAGCAAGAAGGGGAGGAGCAGGCCACCAGGGCACCGGTAAACTGCAATGAGGAGTAGTGGTAGGCAACAAGGCCATGGAGATGGTGTAGCTTACCATGCATCTGTGTCCAGTATCTGCCTATTCTTCTTTCGCTCCAGCTAGCAGCAGCTTGATGACTCCAGCTCCACATTATGATCATTCATCTTGTGTTTCTTTGAGACAAGTTCTTTCAGATTTAATCCTGTGCTGCGTCATCTGTGTCCAGTATCTGCCTGCAGGTTAGTGAATCATCAGGAGGTTCTTCGTAGAGTGTACCACACTACCATCTACTCTCAATGAAAGCATGCAGCACCACTTGTGCAATTAATAGCCTCCCTTATTTGTTTGTTCTTTTATTTATTTTTATTGTTTTCGGGTTGTCATTACGTTCAAAAAAATATTGTTTTTGGGTTGTCCAATTTCGTCGTGCTACTTTGTTTCTACCAGAATTTCTAATCAGTCCAAATCATGGAAAAGCCTTTTTTTTCGAGAAGTGTGCGGTACTTATACGTAAGCAATATAGATTGTCTTCAGAATTCTGAAGAATAGCAACGTTTTCAGATTTCGGTACGGTACTGTCAACTCTGAAGGTAACTGATGAACAGCAGGTAATAAGCATCTGTCTATCTGCCTCTGCAATATTCCTTTGTTTGGATCTTCAAAGAGCACGTAGGCCTCGTTTAGATTGCAAAATTTTGCAATCTGGACACTATAGCACGTTTCGTTTGTATTTGACAAACTTTGTTCGATTATAGAGTAACTAGGCTCAAAAGATTCGTCTTGTGATTTACAACCAAACTGTGCAATTAGTTATTTTTTTACCTACATTTAATGCTCCATGCATGCGTCCAAAAATTGGTGTGATGGAGAGAGAGTGAAAAAATTTGAAATTTGGAGGTGATCTAAACAAGGCCGTAGTATGTGTGTTATTAAAAATAAGTAACCCTTTCCGTGGATTCAGCTTGTATTCGGATCGCTTCTATCTTACTATATTGGACATATTGGTACGCTGTTAGTTCGAGAGAAAAAATGTACCTTGCTTTACTTCTAGCACGTGGATATACTAGAATAATAAACTTGCAGAAAATATAAATACGGATAAGTTATGGAGTTTTTGGGTATGCACATGAACAATCGTGCAATTGCAACTGCAGCCATCATTCTTCCACACCCACAAGTTAAAAGAAGACAAACTTTGTTGACCTGCTGCCTATGTTGTGAGCAACAGTTACCCGTTACTCATTCTGTCGGAGTCGTTCAATCTCAAATTTGATCAAATATATACACAAATATACTAATGTTTATGATATCAAATAAAAATTATTAGATTAATCGCACCATAGATTTTTATAGTAAATCTACAGAGATACAATTGTTAATACTATATTTTTGTAAATTTAGTCAAACCTAAAATCGGTTGACTCATCGAAATACGAGAATATTTAGGAACGATGGAACTTAAATTTAGTCAAACTTAAAATTGGTTGACTCATTGAAATAGAAGAACTCAAATTTAGTCAAATTTAAAATTGTTATTAATATACTTGTTCTGGGATGAGGGAGTATACATAGATATATAGAGCTAAAAGAGAACACATTTTTTTTCCCTCCGCGTGCGGTCCTGTACCATGCGTCCATCCCAGTGCCCCAAGTTGGGCCATCGAGACGTTATTGGGACGCAGATATTCGTTTTATTGGGTTGGTCCGCTGGTGCATACCGGCCCGGGGTTGTCCGGTGTGGTGTGGGACAGGGCTTCCCTTGTCAGGCGGAGCTCCCACTCCGCCACCGCGCCGCGCTCGCCGCCACCGCCGCCTCCCGTTCGTTCTCAAGGTTCTCTCCCCGCCACCTCTCCGAGTCCCAACCTCCACCGACGGGGAGGCGTCCTCCAGTCGGGCCGGTTAGATTCATCGCCTTCCTTGTCGCTGGCCCTCGGCCTTTCCCTCTGCTGTGATGGGAGAAGCGAGTCGCGCACGCGCTCGGCCAACCAATTAAGCACGGGGCGGGGCCGTACGCAGGGGCGAGCACGAGGGCTCTCCGGCGAGAAGGCGCCGAGGCACGCGAGGCTCCCGCCGTACTTAGTTTGCAGTCCGGGGCGTAGCAGTTTTTTTGGCCCGGAGGTGTGGAAAGCGGAAAGCGATGGCTGCGCCGAGGAAGGGGACGGCGACGCCTCTGGGTGCCGTATTCTCGCCGGAGGAGACGAAGAGGGCTGTGGCGAGGGTATCCGAGTCCATCGCTGGCCGCCGCGCTGAGCTCGGGCGCCTCCAGGGCTTCGTCGCCGACAACGCGGCCCTCGTCTCCCACGTCAACAGGCTCCCCGACGAACTCTCTCACGAAATCATGGTCCTTCCCTTTTCTCTCTCAAGTCTGAACTAGCAGCAATCTGTGTCTTCTTTTAGAGATAAACTTGGTAGCTCACCTGCAATTTTTCGATTTCCTCATTTTTTTAGGGTGACAAAAGTTTGTGGTGGTAGTCTGAAAACTGAATTACTCCTTCCTAATTACTGGTGCTAGTAATTTGTCTCATCCAGTCGTCCACTTCTAGGCATTGGACGTATTGTAGCTATACATAATGACTAATATGTTCAATGACATTCTCAATTGATTTCGGAGCCCGAGGAGAAAAAAAACTCGACCGGGGGGTTAAGACTGCCCCCGCACTCCCGCAGCATTACAAATAAGAAGAAGGACCTTCTCACCCGGCCGAGAAAACCCCCGAACCCCCACCCCCACCCTTACACGGTGGCTTTCTGTCGCCCAAGTGAGAATTGGGCCGGTGCCCCCCCAGTGCTTTGGTTATGGGGACGGACGAGGGGATTTTTTTAACCTCAGCCTGAAATTCGCTCCCACGGAGAGTCGAACCCAGGACCTAAGGAGTGCCGCTGGGTCACCTAACCGTTTGAGCTAGGCGCCCTTTGGCGAGCCTGAGGAGAATCCTTTTGTGGTTCTGTAAGGAGTCATTGATTGCAACATAGGGAAAATATAAGTTTCTATAAGGGTGTGTTTGGCTCCTGCTGCACATGCACGTCGCCACGGCTGCGGCCGCGCCGCGAGTGCGGCAGACGAATCGTCTGCCACACATTTGGCAAGCTGTGGTGTCAAAAATGATCTGGAGCATGCGGCGGCTGCCAAACCTTCGGCGAGTTGCGGCGTGGGTGTTTGGCTGACATGGTATGCCACAGCTGCGGCCGCTCCGCGAGTGCGGCGGACGAATCGTCTGCCACACATTTGGCAAGCTGTGGCGTCAAAAATGATCTGGAGCATGCGGCGGCTGCCAAACCTTCGGCAAGTTGCGGCGTGGGTGTTTGGCCGACAGGCATGCCACACTTGCGGCGTGGCGACCTGCGGTGCGCTGTGAACACGAGCCAAACACACCCTTAGTCTCACCTTGTGTGCTTTAAATAGTTTCCAACAAGATTTTTTTTTTTGTCTAAAAAAAGAACTATGCATTGCAGATCCCCTTTGGTGGCACCGCATTTTTCCCAGGGCGTTTAATACACACAAATGAACTCTTGGTATGGTTTCTGCCGTGGAGCAGTTTTGATTTTTCAGTCTGTGTCAGCCCATCAATTTATTATTCATGGTTTGCATTGTGTTTTAGGTGCTTCTGGGTGAGGGGTACTATGCAGAGAGGTCTGCTAAGCAGACGACTGATATATTGCACAGGAGGGGGCAGGAATTGGAAGCTCAAGTGGAAGCAATGAAGGCGACTATTGCTGACCTTGAAGCTGAGGCGAAATTCTTTGAGTCCACTGCCACTGAGGCTTCAGTAAGGCTCCTCTCTTATTGGTTCTGTATATATGACATACGAGTAATGCTATACTAGCGTTTTACTCGGTGACGCCGTGACGGTAATCATCATATCAATTCCCTCGATGACCCTTGGTAAGGGGAAAAGAAAAAATGGTTAGTGAATAATTACATATTTTTATTGACATTGGGACACATCAATTGCAGTTACTGTGTTTCAGTATGGAGACAAATTTAGCACCATAACCTTCTTATAGATTATTGAGAGTGCTCATCAGTTTTTGCTCATGTGCTAAATCGCACCCCTGAAAAATACTATACTGCTTACAGATACTTAATACAAGCGATGATCTGACTATAAGCAGTGTGTTAGGTTATAACAATATATAGCATTGTAGACTTTATACTATCTGAGGTGCTTCTATTATTGATCAGTTCACTGCATTTTGTCTTAGCAGAAGCCAGTAATATTTCCATCTTGGTGTTTCACCCTTAAGTATTTGTGTGCACACTTGCATTTAATTTAATGCTTAACTATGTTAATGTGGGCAGGAGGGTCTTGTTGAAATCAGGGAAGAGTATGATGAGGACACAGAGACGAATGCAACAAAATCAGGTAACCATCTGGAGTTTCCTTTTAATTATCTAATGTCAGTAAAGGCTTTGTTGTTGTTGTTAAGTTGTTATCTAATAGCTATAAACTAATATGCTCTTATCTTGTCTTCACGATTTGTTTTCCATTCTTATGAGTTCTTAATACTCCTATTTTTTTTTCTGCAGTATGTCTATCACCACTTTGTTTTAAATCCTTCTTGAATGTTAAAATATTATTGTTTAGCAATCCTGGTTTGGTAAAGTTTAACTGATCTTCCAGCAAGTTGATCTGTCACTGTTTCATTCCTCCATCTTGTACTTTTTTTTAATGTATGTTTAGGCATGACTTGATGACTTGTTGTTCTGGTGAAATTATTGCTCTTCCCGGTACAATCTTTGTGCTTACATATGTAGCAACTAATCTGAATCTTCTACTTTCACATGACTTCTTTTTTCTACCTGTTTACTTCAGAGGCTTCAATTGCTACTGAGGTTATGTCCGATAAAGATAAGGAACATGCTCGAATCATGGCAAGGTTAGATGAATTCGAAAGGGAAGAAAAGGAAGTTGGAAGTACTTCTGAAGATGATGATGATGATGATGACGATGATGATGAAGACGATGATGATGAAGACGATGGAGATGCTGGAACAAGTGAGGATGGTGAGGAAAATAAGGAATCTGGAAATGCTTTAAGTGATGGCAATGAGAACCACAGTTCTGGTTTTGGCGCTTCATTTTCTGGAAGTGGTGGCAATGATAGGAGTCATGGGAATATCAAGGTACTTGTTTCTCAAGCTAATCTGACCTATGATAGTTTTGTTCATTTGTTGGAATTATTTATTTTAATCCTTGTACTAATAGCTGAAGAGTGCACTGAAGAAGCCTGGAGGAGATGAAATGCTAAGAGGCATTTCTCATACACCATCATCAGCCCATACATCTCATCCAGTATTTCCTGGCCAAACTTCTGTATGTTCTTTATCCTTCTTTGTCTACCTTCTGCATTGTCTTTGAATGAACTGCTTATTATCTGTGTAAATTTGTTCGGTCACAACATTGTATTTCTTATTCGCAGATAACAAATTCTGATGTCCGAGTTCGCACTAAAGGTTAGTTCAGCTCTTGGTTGGAGACAACTTGTTGCATAATAGAATTGACACCTTCGTTGTGTATTGTTGCTGGAGATGGAACTGAACCTGATTCTCTTGGTGCTTCATCTGTTTTTTTATAAGTGTATAGAATTATGTACCATACTGCTGATTTATGTGTTAACCCACACGTTCTACTTGCAGCTGTTTCTTTTGAAGACGACAAATATGTAGTTAGTTCGTCAAAGTCTCCTCCCTTGCTACTGGATTCAATACAGTCTGATCCTGGGCTCAAGGTACTTTTGGCTTTACTTCTTACAGAACTTCTTTGTTCGTTCCTTTGCCTGCATTAGCCTCTCAGCAAGGGCTTCAACGGTGAACCTGAGCACTAACATTATTGTACATGAAAAAACAAGAGGTCCGGTTCTCATGAAAGAATTTAAGTCACTTTAGAGTTAAAGAGTTAAGACAGAAATACCCCATGCTGCAATTATGTTTATTTGTCATTTGGATGTACACAGCTCTACTGTCTAAACATCCCCTGTCTCCACTAACATATGTACGTCATAGTTTACTGTTACCCCGTTGCTTCAATCATGATTATTTATATTTATTTTATATTTGCAGAATTCTTCAGACCCCACTCCATCCCGTGACCGAAAGATAATATCAAGTGGGCGAAAGGTCGTCTTCTTGTACTCTGTTTGATGTTACTGGCACACCGTTTGAACTTGCTCCTGTGCTTAGCTTAATGACTTATTCTGTCAGCAGGCCTTTACAGGATCTATCATTGAGCACGACGACAATCTTTCAACCATTCAACCTTCTGTGGGTAATTCGTTGGCAAAAGTAAGATGTTTTTTTTCCCTCTTCTTCTGAACTTCGCACTGGTACAGTGTAAATCCACATCGATCTCTTCTCTTACTACTTTCCTGAATGTTTTGACAGCCTGGTACTTCTGCTTCTTCAAGGCCCATGTCAAGATTCAAGATGCAGAAAGGAGGGCGGTGAGTCTCGACACACGACACTAGGGCGGATCTTTGGTGGCTGATAGATGCATCTGGGACAATCATGATAAGTGGTAGTGTGGATACTGTGACCCGTTCAAATAGTTTGTGCGAGCTGAGCACCTGGAAACTAGACATCTTGTTGTGTTGCGATTGTCCTCTGCGGACTGTGGAATGCACCTTCAGTGAAACTGTTTGGGGAACATGTAATGTTCAGTTAAATTCAGTTTAGTGGTTGGTGGCGCATCTCTTTCAGAATCCTACATATATGCAGGTTGCAAATCTTTCAGCCGAAAAGGTGTCGAAAGATTATATTCTCTGAATTTAATTGAATTTAAGTGAAAACAATGCTGCTGAAGGTTGATGACAATTTACGGAGACTAAAGGTGATAAGGGAATTCATGGAAAATGAAGCAAAGAAGGAAACGATGAGGGTTTGGTTGGTCGGTTAGCACGGGACGTCCAAGCATCGCATCAGTTAGCCATGCATCACAGTCAGTTAATCTCAGATCAGCAGGGGCATTGCATGCATTGGTAAAAATAAAAGAAAGAAAAAGAAAACCAAAGAATCCGTCGACCAATAACTTATTAGGTTAATTACAGATTGAGTGGTGCTAGCTTGCTGTTCCGACTTGTGCTGTAACAGAGTGTCATGACATGGTCAGTAGCAGCTGATGAGCACCGCGAAGTCAGGTCGGCTTCTTCTTCCCTCGGCGCCGTGGAGCACCAGATTGTCTCCCTCACGTATTTCACCAGCAGCAAGGGAGGAAGAACCTGCCCTCTGCATGTCAGCTCCACCTGCCATTTTTATATTGTTTCATTCAGGGGTAATCGCCACAATCAGCTATAAGATCGAGTAAAATGTTAAATAATCTGAACTATATGTAATACTGAAAAGCTAGAATGCTCCATGCATTGTTAAATTATAAAATAAATACATATGTGTTAAACTAAAAAATTAATAATGGCCAGGTTAACATTAATTCTTGCCATGTGTTTGATGTGGTAGTTCTGAGTAAGCTAATTAAACCTGATGGCCAGGTTCTCATAAGCGAGCAGGGACCATAAGCCTGATGGCATAGAGACGTGTGCATGCGGATGGGTAGCTTACAGTAGTCCACACTAGACAGTGTAGCTAGCAGCAAGACGACATGGAATTTTGATGATGATTTGATGGGTATATTGCGTGTCGCCGTCAGTTTTGCCTTTGTGTTGTGGTGCAGGCGTGCAACCATCCATCCATGTACAGTACGATAATAATGTCCTCATCAGCATGCAACCTCTGCACCATGGAGAGCTGCTACGCTGGTGGCTGGTGCTTGTGTCGAGAGAGAGAGAGAGAGAGAGAGAGCGCTGCCACACATGCAGGCATGCAGCACGCGCGCTCGCTCTCCGGCCATGGCATGGGCAGGCATGCCGGCGGCGGTGCGGCCAAAAGTTGCTTTCCTGCTGGTATTCTATTCCCTTCTCGAATCGAGTCGTTGCCGTAAAACTTTACAGTATTTGTTTGGTTTTCTATAAACGTGCGTTACGCCATCTATTTCAATATGTCCTGAAATCAGACTCCATGTTATATTTAGATGTATACTATTCTAACGTCTATAAACACATTTCTAAGTTCGGGCTATAGACCGGACAACAAGCCAATTAAAACTTTTATCTTCAATTCATTCATAAAATTAAATAGGATTTTTATGCTCGAGTGAGTGAGTGAGTGAGTGGAGGGGCATGGATTGGAAGAGAGAGCGCGAAGCACAAATATTTAGGAGAGAGATTTTTTCACTTTAATATTAGATATATAGATGCACACTATATATAATAATTGTGCTAATAAAGATCCAGAAACGGAGACGTCTTGCAGAAAAAAGCATATTAGACCATATTTGGATTCAGCTTGCTAATAGTTACAACTAAAAATTAACAAGAGTGGATTTAAATATACCAATACTAATAGTTAGCGACTTGGTCAGATAAGATTAATTTAGCTAGGGTAAAACTAAAGTGACTATAATTTAAACCCAAGGGTCTATTGTATATTGATTCAACCATAAATAAGCTCAGGATGGATGGATCCTTCCTATATAGCCCTCTAAAGTATCAAAGTACAACAAAGCTTGCAAACTTAGGTGATTGGATTTCGTAAAATCTCGACCTGACGTGAGGGCTCGTATTCCTTTTGAATTTATCTTATGATTTAACTACGCTTGCGCTACGTCTATATTGTGATCAAAAGAAGCACAACAAAGCTTACTCGATCTGCTCTTAACCGGTCGGTTACTTCGAAAAGCCAAAGTGCGGTGGAAGATAAAGGAAAAAAACGCATATACTACATAGAATACACTCTATGTAGCCATGTAGGGTGTGGGGGGTGGGGAGGTGTTGGTGACTGACATGCACGGGACCGCACTACTGCCTATGTGTGCGAAGGTACGTGATCAACAGTGACAGTCTAGTCAGTGGATCGATCCCCTGTGGGCTATAGCGAATCGTGGCGTGGACCAGCCCAGCTGGATCCATTGGCTATCGTCGCCGGCCTACTAGCTAGCTGGGTCGTGGATCGTACACACGTGCGGCGCGTGCGATCGAGAGGGTTAGCGCACACGTACACGCGTGCGTACGTACCCATCAGTCGATCCAGGCCGTGATCGCGTGCATGCATAATCATTGCTGTCACTCTGTCAGCAACATGCATGCATGCAGTTTTTTTTAATTTTATAAGGGTCATGCAGTTTGGAACTGAGTGAGAGTACACATGAGTCTCTCTGAAAAATAGTTGTATCAATGAACTATCCACTTGATGTTTAATTGCAACCAAGGTCTACTTTAATTTGCAAAATTTTTCACATTCCCCGTCACATCGAATCTTTGGACGCATGCATGAAGCATTAAATATAAATAAAAAATAAAACTAATTACACAGTTTAGACGAAATCCACGAGACGAATCTTTTAAGCCTAATTAGACTATGATTTGACACTATTTGCCAAATAACAACGAAAACGCTATAATACTCATTTTGTAAAAATTTTTGCATCTAAACAAGCCCCAAATGTGTACTTTAATTGATCTTGTAAGTTATAGTACTTAATTAGAATCCGTGCAGTGTGCAGTGTTTTTAACCTGAACCTGAAATAATGTTGTGTTCGAGCGAGCATTCAACAATTCGAGGGATATAGAGGCGCGCTTGCGTGCCTCTGCATCATGTGCGGCTGACGCGCGCGCGTTATCATTGCACTAGCACACACAGACCGCGCGACCTCTCTGGCTCTCTGCTCGATCTCTTGATGATATGCATGTTGCTTTCTATCATCGTATGCTACTGGTACTACTTGTCCCTAAAAGAATGCAACTATGGATTAAAGTGATTTATGTTTAACCAAGTTTCTAAGTAAATAATATGCACATTTATGGTTCTAAATCAATTTATTATGAAAATATATTTCGTAATTAATCTAATGATATTTATTTCATATTATAAATATTTATGCTTTTTTTTATTTTATCTATAATTGGTTAAATTTAATATACTAAAACGTGATATTGTTCGAGAATTGTATTCTTCCGGAGACAGAAGGTGTATATATATATATATATATATATATATATATATATATATATATATATATATATATATATATATATATATATATATGTGTGTGTGTGTGTGTGTGTGTGGAGAGTATATTCAGTAGTCAGCTACAAAATAAGTTATTCTGTAGCCACCTCCATTTATGATAATTTTATATACTAATTTACAATAATGTCAATACGTATTTACGATAATTTGGTTCCTATAACACATGGGAATATTTACCATAACGTTATAGTAAAACCACTTAGCAAGGAGTTACTATAATCTCGTAAATTAACATAGTAGTTATCGTAACTCAAAGTGGCTACATAATAAGTTTTTAGCTAGCTGGTAATATATATATATATATATATATATATATATATATATATATATATATATATATAGCCATAGAATAACTTATTCTATAGCCATCTTGATTTACGATAATATTTATACCAATTTACGATAACATGAATATGCATTTACGATACTCGTGTTACTACAACTCACGATGATATTTACAATAATGTTATAGTAAATCACTTAGTAAAGAGTTATTGTAATCTCGTAAATTAGCATAGTAATTATCGTAACTCAAAGTGACAACAAAATAAGTTATTCTATGGCCAATTTAATTGAATCAGTTTATATATATATATATATATATATATATATATATATATATATATATTTATATATATATATATATATATGACTATATATGTGATATATGTGACCGACGACCAATCACTAGTATATACTAGATGGATCCCTTCATGCTTTTCCCTACATATATACGGCCGGAGTACTACAGAATGACAAAGCGTAGCTTGGCTATGCCTATGGACCAGCGCCAGCTAGCTACGGAGCTACGGCATCGGCATACGCTCCTACGCGTGCAGTGCAGCATACTCCCTAGCTAGTACGCCGTATATGCAGTGCCTTCTGTTGGCCGCCGTCTATCTAGCTGGCTGCTATATAGGTACAGTAGGCGCCCCTGTCGTCTCCTATTCTGTTGTTGCAGGAGAGATAGATGTAACGTAACGTGGTTAGATATACCATGCACATACAGCTAAGCCAAATGATTTAAAACTTAACTAGATTTTATATACAAAAATACCAATATTATCATACTAAATAAATACACCATCAGATTAGTCATGAAATTTATTTTTAAAACACACGTATTTGAAGTCGTATATGCTAATTTTCTCTTCTATAAATAAAATTATTAGTTAAACTTAAAATAGTACGACTTTAATTTGATCAAACTTACCATTGCATGTTCTTGGTTGGGACGGATTGAATTAAGGTAGTACGTATATACTAATTACTACGGACATACCTGTCCTGATGTGTACTGGAGGTACTACCCTGTACGGAGTATTAGCTAGAATTAATATACGTATACCATATATTATGTACCTCGATCCGGGCCATAGGTAGTCCCGTTTCGATACATGATGGACATGTTCGCTTCTCTTATAATCCGTACTTTTCAGCTTATTTTTTCAACGAGAACATTATTTTTCTCTCACAACAAATCAGTCAAAACAGTGTTTCGGCTTTTTTTTTGGCGAAACGAACGGGCCGATACCAAACTACTCCGTAATATATATGGTCTGATTACGGAAGCATGACGATCAGGTGACGGGCATCGCCACTCCGTCACCATGATGTATGCGTCGCATCGAAATGCAATTCAAGTCCCATCGTCGTACCTCCGATCCGGTCAAAAGAAGCAAGGTACGGTTTGGATTGGATCGCATCGCAGGAAAAAATAATTCCATTAGGAATATATATTATTGGTAAATAGTACGACATATATATAGGGTGACCATCATCTGTTCACGTTCATCTTCGATTGATGATTTGATGTAATCAATTGTATATGATCAATAGTTTTTTTTTTTGAAAAATTATTCCTAAAAATAGAACCCTTTTAATTTCGCAAAGAAAACATAGCATGCATTTTTTGTATTGTTTATTTGTTATTAGTTCGGTACTTATAGCTAGTATTATAAACAGTAATAAATCACGCGCACAAACAAAGCTTCATCATCGAAGCGTTCTGTGTCTATATTATGTTTCCCGTGAATAATTAATTAATTTAGCAGTGAGGGCTGTACTTGTGTGTGAATGCATGGTAGTCGATCGTGGACGCCTTGGATGCATCGCACGCGTGTCCAATGCAAAGCGCGCGAATGGTGGTGCCAGCATATGCATGCACGATAGAAATGCATGCATGCGCTCAGTCGTTGCAGACATGCATGCACATGACTTGACTGCACATGGTCACACGCGCGCCCTCCGGACGATCCCCTCATCACGCTGTCATGCTCATCAACAGATCCATCGACGACGACGACGACTGCTTCATGCTATTGCTAGCTGCAACTGCAAACCGTGCAGCGTCACGCATGCATGCATGCGCGACTACTGACCTACTCCAAATAAAGGTTTCAATATTCGATCGATACTGCCTCCCTCCCCCTCCTTTTTTTTTCTGATGATGATCGATGATTGATGAAGAGGAACCGATCGACAGCAATGCAAATAGTTTAGATCACTCTTTGGTCTCAGATAACACGTCGCACTCGCACACAAGTGCGGTCTAATAAAGCACTGGTGAGTCTGCTGCAGTGCGCCCTCGAATCTGTCTTGATGTTTTTTTCCTAAAAAAAATATGTCTTGATGGTTGTAATTTCATCTACGCCATCTTAATAAAAAGACGTGCCAAAGCACGGCCGCAAAAAAATTCAAATGCATGTCAGTTTAGCCTTCTTAATGTTTGTTTCTCCAAATATATAGGTAGTTCCATAACTTCTATGCATCTTTACGTATCATTCTCTTCCTTGCCTAGCTCTATCTACTCAGAGTCCATTTGGATCCAGTAAAATTAGTTGCAGAATCCAAACGGGGTCTAACTATTAGCTAGCCTAGTTATCTTTTCCTATAGCTAGCAGCTACCAAGTAACAAGTACTTCGTCCGCGCTAAATTGTAAGTCATTATGATTATTTTTATAAGCTTTTACTATATTAGACATAATGTATATCTGCATGCATAACAAAAGCTGTGTATCTAGAAAACCAGAACGACTCACAGTTTAGCTAGAAATGGTACCATTCCCCAAAACATGAATGATTCATCTTTCAGAATACATAATCCTTGCGTGCATGTAAAACAGCCTACATTTGGATCAGAGGCAGTATATAACGTGTGTGGCACTTGTATTTATTTGGGCGAGAACATACATCTTAAGTCAAATACGGAGTATTAATGTATACAGAATTAGGAGGAGCAAACAAGCATATAGGGACTAATAAAGCCAGTAGCAGCAGCAGGCCGTTCAATCCATCACGTCGGCATCAGACGATCAATAATCAAGCTGGCCTATAGCCTGATGATTTAGAGATGATTAAGTGCATCGAAAATGATCTGAACCCGATCGGAGTTGTTAATATGTTAATTGGTGCAGATGAATTAAGTTGGCAGCAAGTCGTTGATCAGTTATCATCACAATAAGCAAGCACATTTGCACAGCAGCTACACTAATAGACACTTCAACAGTTAGCCTCTTTCATGATTGAATTTGACCCACCAGGTGCATGCCTCATTATTTTTACTGAACACTCATCCATTTCTAATTTCTTTACAGCTCTCTTATAGGTCTGTATCATATAATGAGACATTTCCAGTGTCAGTTTCACCTTCGTTTGCACACATGTACTACTGTGATTAAAAAAAACTCGGGTAATTAACCTGCGTTGTTCCATGTGCAGTGTAGTAGGGCCGGACTAATAGAGATTAGCCCACCACACACGTCCTATATTACCTAAGCGTATATAATGATATTAATATGTGCGTATATATAACTATACACTATACATATATAGCTCATGATGTGGGCCTCTGACCTGCTATTCCTTTGTCTACTTGTTCCAAACCAGCAAAAAGAGATCCCGGCCTGTACGTACGCTTAGGTATAATGTTTCTTTCATGATTCCAACAAGTGCACGCCAATTCATAGATTATATGCAGCGCTGCAAAGCAAATTCAACCGAGTGCTTAGCACTGTTCGCTATTGATCGCTCTACCGACATATCCTTCTCTCCAACATTATTGTTATTCGATCGTTCGTTCGACTTGTCAAAAAACTTGATAATTTGATTCCTCGACGGAATAAAGACAAGCACGACTACTACGTATGCTTCGCAAAACACTCAACACTTATGAATGGTCGATATCCAAGTGATGTATAGATGTACGTACCTGATGAGACCGCGCGATGCCTAGCTTCTCGGCCAAATACTTCATCACCACCTCCACCTTCATGTTGCTGTCCCTGCGTGGAAAATCAGTTTGAAATGCGTATTTGAGAGGGCGATGGACCTTTCAATTCATAGTGGTCGTTGCAACATGAAACACAGCTAATAACTTCACCTCATTGTCATTGGATTTGGATGGGATGGCTACTACTCCTGCACTGCGTGTAGCTACTATGTGACATCTAGAAAACTGAAAGACTAGCTACTGGCTAGATACGTCTTTGATCAGACAACAACAGAACAACGAGAGCCACATTCCAGATACACACACATAGTATAACACTGCTGTCATGCATTTAATTTAATTTTGGGAATTAATACATAATTATTGTAACAGTGACTTATTGTACTTTTTTTCTAAGCTAGTTTCACATTTATCTATATATATTGGATATATGATTAACATCCAATATTACAATCAAACAGCAGGTCAGCCCCTATTCCATCCAATAGTCACAACAGTTGGCTTATAGTTAAGTGTGGAGACCAGACTTGTTAATCATAAAATAGAACAAAAAATTGAAGAGTTTAGAAAATTACTTGATTCTTAGGTAGCTCTTTGCTATCTGAGGCAAAATAGGCTCTCTAATTCTGCAAGCATGAAAAGAAGAATATTTAATGAGTACCTGCAGAGTTCCACGCGACATGAATAAGAACAACACTAAAAATCTAAACAGTATATGCTCATGTATATACTGGCCTTGCAATTGCAGTATATTATCAGATGGATTTAGTTACACTTGTACATCACCTAATGTGATAAAACGTAGGGATATATGCATATGTATGTGCATACTATATTATATGCATGTACAGCAGTGATTGTTTTTTTGAAGCAATATAGGAGTAAATTAAGTTGTGGACTTGTATGCGTGCACTTACTGGTTAGGAGCTGCCTGAAGCGTCAGCCACAGCCCGGGCGTCTCGGTTCGTCGCGGCGGGCTGATGACTCTTATGGTATCGCCGGAGCACCTGAACGGAGGCATGAACGGCAAGAACGGCGCCGACATGGACCCGCTAGCTGCCGCCGCGGGTCGATACCGTCCGCGGCCGTCGCCGTAGGACTGGTGGTAGCTCCTGAGCGGCAGCGGGAACAACGGCGGCCTCAACCTGGCGTTCCGCTTGTCGTAGGCGAAAAGGTCCAGCGCCATGGGAGCCGGCGGGGCTGGAGCCGGAGCCGGATCCGTGCTGTTGTTGTCGCCGGAGGAGGAGGCGGAGGACGACGACGACGCCGCGGTGGCGGCCAGGCCTAGCTGGAGCCAGTCTCCTTCGTCGTTTCCTGCGCCGGCGCCGCCCGGGGAGCTCGTGCCGGGCCCGGCCGCCGCGGCCGGCTCGTCATCGTCTGCCATGGCCAGCAGCCGAGGGGATCTTGACGGCTTGCTTTGGTCCTGCTGCCGCGCAGACGCCGCCGAGGCCTCCAATTGGGCGGCGATGCCGACGTAGTACTGGCCGGGGTGGTAGCACGACCTGCTGCGGCTGCTCTTGCCGTCATGGTGCAACAGGTTTCTAGTTGTTGGGACCATGGCGGCGACAACGTGATGCTGCTGCTGCTGCTACTGACCTCGACCGTGTGGTACGTATCATGTCTCGATCGACGGATGGATGGATTGACAGATCTCTAGCTACAGCTCCTCATGGATCGTGCGGTGCCTCTCATATCTCAATCACCTCCTGCACCTCGGCTGCTAGACGAGTGCAAAAAAGCTAACTTGTTGCATGTATGGATGGATGATCGAAGAAGCAGAGATGCATACATATGTCTGTGGAGGAGTCAGAATCAGAAGGAAAGAAGGCAAATCAAGAAGCTAGCTAGCTGAAGAGAAATGGCGTGGAAGGGAGGAGGAAGAAGAGGATTCTGAATCCTCGCTTTTCTCCTATTGGGGAGCAAGCCAAGCCAAGCCAAGGGAGAGCTAGAGGGAGGAGAGATGATGGTGGCCTCACTTTCCCTTTGGTCTCGACTCGAGCCTGCAGGAAGCCTGTGGCCAAGAGAGATGAAATAGTACTTGCTTGCTGAGGCCATAGGACTGGAGGAGAGAGGAAACAAATTAAGAAAATGATGTGTATAAATAAATCTATTATATATATTCATAGCTGTGATGAATACTTTTGTTTATATATGCTCTATTATCTCTCTCCAATCTCTGTCACTTGTGATTTATCAGTACGTACGTCAACTGAGTCTCTAATATGCACATGCTTCTAACCATTTTACTTTTCAGGTGATGGATGGCTATTAAAATGTATAAATTTGATGTGGAAGTACTTTTACCGCAAATCTACTAATAATATCATCCTCTGACGTGAAACCTTCTTACTTATTTTTCTAGTACGTAGTTGCTGAAAGTTTAAATGTGTTCGCATTCAGGACAACATCTACTTATGTATATGTAGCGTGTGCTTTGTACTACTACAAATGAAGAATTATATTACTTTAAGGTTGTGCATGCCATAGTCTTGTTGTAGAATCGATCTCTCTGGGATGGGATTGGTGGACTATGGAGGCTGGAGAAGAAGAAAAAACCCTGATGCTGCTGTGCGAACAAAGGTACGTAGCCATAGGCTTCAGAGGGAGAGTATTTCAGAATAAGAAGAACGGTAGGAGAGATGGGAGCAAGTGAAGTGTCGTGTACGTTGAGGTGACAGCATGGCAACTCCACTATCCTAACTTACTAATCTCTAGACACCTAGTTCCTAAATCCATGACCAAAAGGTTACTATCTTCACACTATCCCAGTTTTCGACATCACTGCCGGTTCAAAATCTCCCTTCACTGTCGGATTTTGAACCGGTAGTGGTATACCGACAGTGATGCTCGCTGGCTACTGCTGCCGGTACTTCACCCAACAGTGATAAGGTTTAGAACAACAAAAAAAGGCAATCCAACAAGCATGCCGGCTGGAGCATACTCGTTACCGCCGCCACCGCCACCATGCTCGCTGGCTACCGCCGCCACTACATCAAGCATTTCATCCAAGAAAAAAATTCATACATCACAGACAAAGGACGAATTCAACACATCAGAAAAACTCATCCACAAATCGATTCGTGCATCACAGACGAAGGAGAAGGGTTCAACACATCACAAATCAATCAATCCACAAATCGATTCGTACATCACAGACAAAGGAGCAGGGTTCAACACAAACAAAATAACTCATCTACAAATTGATTCACACAACATAGAGGGAGGGGAGGGGAGGCCAAGAGGGGGAGATTGGGGATGCCGCCGAGCAGGCCAAGTCGCTCCAACACCAGATCTGAGGCCGCGCTTCCAGTCATCGCCCCTATGATGACAGATCTGAGGAGACACAGCAGTGTGAGAGAGAGAGAGGAGAGAGCACCGGAAAGGGAGATTGCCGAGGAGAGAAGAGCGAGAAAAGAGAAAACACCGTGAGTCGTGCCGACGCCAGGGTGGATTCGCGATGAGCCGAGCGGACGCGCTCGCACCGGTCCCCGCACGACCACGCCCGCGGTGGCCTCGTGCCTGCGCTGGGCTGGATCCGCGCGCCGAGCCGAGCAGCCACGCTCGCACCGGTCCCCACCCGACTGCGTTGAAAGCTCTAGTTTGGTTTTGGTGAATTGATGAAACCCTAAGTGCTAACCTAGTTTATCAAGTGATCATGAAATAGGTAGCACATTCCAAGCGGTGAAGCAAATGAAGATCATGACATGATGATGGCGATGCCATGGTGATGATCAAGTGCTTGGACTTAAAAAGAAGAAAGAGAAAAATAAAAGGCTCAAGGCAAAGGTATAAATGGTAGGAGCCATTTTGTTTTGGTGATTGAGACACTTAGTGAGTATGATCACATTTAGGATCGATAGTCGTACTATTAAGAGGGGCGAAACTCGTATTGAAATACGGTTATCAAAATGCCACTAGATGCTCTAACTCATTGCATATGCATTTAGGATCTAGTGGAGTGCTAACACCCTTGAAAATGTTTGTGAAAATATGCTAACACATGTGCACAAGGTGATACACTTGGTGGTTGGCACATTTGAGCAAGGGTGAAGAAGATAGAGTTGAAAAGGAGTTAGTCATGCTGGTCACGCAGTGACCGGACGCTGGTCTCAGTGGGACCAGTGAGTCCGGTCAATGATATAGCAAAGATGCTGGTGTCGGTCTTCGACCGGACGCTGGGTCACTTGGTGATCGGACGCTGACAGGGTGAGTCCGGTCTGGCTGATGTGGCAGCGCACAGAAGAGTCATCGTGTGACCGGACGCTGGGTGAGTCTGGTCGAGCATGACCGGACGCGTCTGGTCGTGAAAAGTCGTCTCTGGATGCTTACTGCAAACGACCAGAGGCTGGTGTTCAGCGTCCGGTCGTTTTAAGCTGCTGCGTCCGGTCATCACTTGACCGTTGAGATCGAGCGATCAACATTTGAAGAGAGGGAACATGTGGCACGTATCGTGTGACCGAACGCTGAGGTCCAGTGTCCGGTCGATATGACCAGAGCGTCTGGTCATCCCATGTTGTGCCCAGTGAAGGGGTACAACGGCTCTATTTTGTGGAGGCTTCTATTTAAGCCCCATGACCGGCTCAAGCTCACACTCTTGGCCATTTGCATTGAAATAGCAACCTTGTGAGCTTAGCCAAAGCCCTTTCACTCATCTCCATCATTGATTCATCATCTTTGTGAGATTGAGAGTGAATCCAAGCGCATTGCTTGAGTGTTTGCATCTAGAGGCACTTGGTGTTCGTGTTTCACTATGGGATTCGCTTGTTACTCTTGGTGGTTTCCGCCACCTAGACGGCTTGGAGCAGCGAGGATCATCGAGCGGAGGTTGGTGATTGTCTCTGGCTCCGATCGTGGTGATTATGAGGGGTTCTTGACCTTTCCCCGATGGAGAGCCAAAAGGTACTCTAGTGGATTGCTCATGGCTTGTGTGATCCTCATCTTATGTTGGTTGTGCGGCGCCCTATTGGGGGTTTGGCGTGTGATGCCAATTAGCGCATGAACCTCCAAGTGAGTGAATCGTCACAACGAGAAGTTGCTTGCCGGCAAGCAAGTGAACCTCGGTAAAAAATCATTGTGTTCATCATTTGATTCCGAGGTGATTGATTTTCATTGGTATTCTTTCTTGTGATTGATTGGTTCACTCCACGACACGGCGGTATAATCATCTTACTCACTCTCTTTACATTACCGCAAACTAGTTATCAAGCTCTTTAGTGTAGCTAGTTGTGTGAGCTTGTTAGTGTGGTTAGTGTGTCTCTTTAGTTAGCCTTTGAGAGCACACTAACTTAGTATAGTGACATAGCTATTATGTGGATAGAAACTATACAAACTAGAATTGTGGTAGGTGGCTTGCAATTTTAGTAGGCTAGCGCAACACTTGCTTCACCTCATAATTGTCTAACCGGTTTGCGAAGTGTTGTTGTATAATTTTTTAATAGGCTATTCACCCCCTCTAGCCATTAGGACCTTTCAAGTGGTATCGGAGCCGAGGTCACCGTGATTTGAGGCTTAACAACCTTCGGTGTAAAAATGGCTCAAATCAACAACACTAAAAATCCACCCTAATTTAATGGCTCAAATTATCCATATTGGAAATCAAAGATGACCACGCATATCAAGTCAATCAATAAAAAAGTGTGGAAGGTGGTAGAAACTAAAATTGAGATTGGTGATTTGGAGAATCCCACCGCGGTCGAAGAAGTGCTTCTCCAAAACAATGACATTGATCTAAGTGTTATTCATGATGCAATTGATGAGAGAACATTTGAGCAAATCAAGAATATTGAGATGGCTCATGAGACTTGGAAGAAGTTGGAAGAATCATTTGAGGGCACTCAAGCCGTGAAGGGTGCAAAGGCATACATTCTCAAAGAGAAGTTTGCAAGCTTCAAGATGAAGGAGGATGAGAGTGTGCCGGCGATGTTCCATAGGCTTCAAGTGCTTGTCAATGATCTCAAAGCACTTGGAGAAGAGGTGAAGGATAAAGACTTCTCCCACAAGCTCTTAAGATGCTTACTTTCAAGATTTGGCGCATTGGTCACCATTCTAGTGAGAAGTGGTTTGGACACTATGACACCAAACCAAGTGTTAGAAGATATAATGACCGATGATACATATAGAGATGATGATGAGAAGGAAGAAAAGAAAGAAAAGAAAGATGAGAAGAAGAAGAGCGTGGCATTCAAGGCCACATCATCCAAGGGCAAGGCAAAGCAAGATACATCAAGTGAAGATGATGGCTCATGGAATGATGATGATGATGAGAAGATGGCTCTCTTTATCAAGAAATTTGGCAAGTTCATGATGAAGAAAGGGTACCGTGCTAGAAGAAAGAGATCTTCATTCAAGAACAAGGAAGAGTCAAGAAGGTGCTTCAAATGTGGAAGTAAAGATCATCTTGTTGCTCAATGTCCATACAATAGCGACAATGATGATGATATCAAGAAGAACAAGAAGAAGGACAAGAAGGAAAAGAAAGAGAAGAAGGACAAGATGACCTTCAAGAAGAAGAAGGGTGGTTCATATGTGGTCACTTAGGATAGTGATGCTTCCTCAAGT